AAAAAAAAAAGGATTCTCGTTGGCAATCAAATCATACAAGCTGGCAGTGGGTGGGAAGGGGGATTTCAGTGCTGTGCGGGCTGCTGTTGGGCCTGCTGCTGTTTGGACGACGACTCCTTGAGCGCCAGCAGCTGCTTGCTCCTGAAGGCCTCGTAGTGGATCTGGGCGGTGGTCTCGATGAGATCCTGCAGATGGGTGCGCGTAAGGAAGTTGCGCAGATGGACAAACTCGCAGTGGCTTTCGTTCTCGACATTGACCACGCCGTACCTGTTCTTCCTGCCCCTGACCTGTTTGCCATCCACGACGACCGTGGACTCGGAGCCGACAATGGCAAAGGGGATGAGGTTGCGAATGCGGTCGTTGAGTTCCTGTTCCTCCACCTCGTACTCTTCGTTGTCAAAGGGATAGATGCGGATGTTGTTGTACTGCATCTCGGCGCGGATCCTCTCCTTGAACAGATCGCGCTCGTCCATGGTGAGCGAGTCGGACTTTGCAATGACGGGGACAACGTTGACGACATCGCTAAGCTTCTTCATCACCGTCACGTCGATGGGACGCAATCCATGACCCGTGGGGTTGATGAAGAAGAGGCAGCAGTGGATGCGGGTATCGACAATGTATCGATCGCGCATCGCGGTGAGTTCCTTTCGCAAGTAGGCCGAGTGTTGGTCCTTGATGTACTTGACGATGGGGTCCCAGCAGTTCTCGTTGTTCACCTGGTCGCCGTAACCGGGTGTGTCGACAATGTTCAGTCGCAGCTTGACGCCGTTTTCGACAATCACGTGCGAGACGGGGTGGATCTCGGTGGTTTGACGAACCACCTCGTCCGCTGCAAAGCGACCCTTGGTGTCGATGAGGTGCGCCGCAAACAGCGTGTTGATCAGCGTCGACTTGCCCAGACCCGTCTGACCGACGACCATCACGTTGAACTGGAAGCCGCGCTTGAGCAGCTTCGACTCGATCTGCTTGGTGATCGAGTCGAACCCGACGTACGACTGCAACGGCGTGTGGTCCTGTGCGTTTGAAACCGCTGTCATTTTGGCAATTGAGGAAAGGGAGGCAAGGGTGTGGGGATGGTGGTGGAAAGCTGCAGCTGGAAGCAAGTGGGCGATGCGCTGCTGGCGTCCAGCAGTGGTGGCTCATGCACCCACACGCACACACGCACGCACGCACCCGCACCCGCACCCGCGCCCTCCCCTCTCTCCCTCTCTCTGGCACCCCCTCCCTCGCTTCTTCCAACCCCCCAAAAGTGCATGTTTCAACCTGCGCTTCAAACCCGACGCGCCCGCATCCCAACTTGTATTCGCCAGCAGACCCGCGCTTTCAAATTTCCAAGTACCCGCTCGCCGCCTTCAGCGCAACCTCATTCAGGGTCTGATCTAACATTGGCGAAAAAAGCTTCAAGCCCGACAACCACCTCGAAGCTTGAGTCTATCTGGCCCACATCGTCAAAGCGAGAGCGGAGCACCGTGAAAGTTCGTCGCGTTTTCATCAAAGTACAAGCAGGTATTCAAAAGGAAGCGAGCGGAAGCGTGGATCGTAGATGGAGGTCGTCCTTGCGCACATTCTACACCTGGGAGCCGCGCGTAAAGTAGGCCTTCATGCCGTGGGTGGCGAGCTCGTTCTTGGCCTGGGCGAACGAGTGGCCCTGCTCGTTGTTGTGCTTCCAGATGAGGCGGTAGTACCACAGGTTGCCGAGACCCTGCAGGCCGAAACCCGCTGTCGCTATGCATCCGAGAATGCCGGCGACGAGCCTGCCTCCCGCAAACGCCTGGATCGTGTTGATGAGCCCCGCGGAACCGGTGGAGGGGATGCCGAGGAAGACGTACACCGAAAACGCCAGATGGAAGCCAGCAAAGATGAAGTAGACGTAGAAGAAGAGCGAGTGCTCCTTCATGAGGCCGTTGTAGATGGGTCGGTACCACAGCAGGAAGCTGGTGACGGTGATGACGGGCAGATAGACGATGCCCGAGATCATGTCCTTGCCGCCGTCCGAGGCGCCCTGGATGAGCAGGAAGATGCACGCCACCATGTTGACGACGAGCGTGGCGACGAGGAGCAGCCAGAGCTTGTAGAGGTTGTGCATGATGGGCTGGCTGTCCGGCGGGATCTCGGCGTCGATATCGTGGTAGATGAGCGGATAGAAGAAGGGCCAGTTGTTGCGGCCGTGCTTCTGGATGTGCGCGGCGCGCGATTCGAGCTCGCGCTCGCGCCGTGCGAGCTCCTCCTCGCGCCGCCGCAGCTCGTCCATGCGGTTGGCGTCGGCGCGCGTCGTGGGCAGCTCGTCCTGCACGCTCGCCTGCTTGTATGTGGATGCCGCCTCGTCGTCGCCGCCGGCATACATGCGCGACGAGTCGTTGAGCGCGCCCTGCACCGACGGGTCTGCGAATGGATTGGCGTCGAGCGCATTGCGGTCAGCGAACGGATCGGACGCCATGTTTGGAAGTCGTGTGTCGAGCACGGATGATGGTGGTGGTGGTGGTGAGCAGTTGCGTGCTCCACGTCAGAGCAGTCAAAAAGTGAAATGATAGAGCGAGGGCAAAGTGGTGGCCTGAGCCCCAGCTACTCTAACTTTGGCTGCCGGGTGCGCGTGGAATTCTGGCACAACGGCGCGTCGGCTGTGCTCCCACGTTTCCGAGCCAAGCAAGGCAGCTCCACTCGGCCCCTTTTCCCGCGCCCCGCTGCGCTGCCCCCCTTCGGCAAGCGATGCGCTTGCCCGATTTAACACCGATCCCGATCTCAATCGCGAGCCGCATGTCGCCTCGCCTCGCGCGTCTGTCTGGCATGCTCTGCCTCGACCCTGGCAAATTTCGCGCCTGGCTGACCAGCAGCAGCATGGATGGGAGGGAGCGTGTAGAGTAGGAGTAGAAGCAGCGTCGTCCACTGCTTCCGAATGCAACACGGCCGGTCGGTCCAGGCGAGCCCTCGGTAGAGGCGCACTTTGCCCGTGCGAACCGACGACGCTCCTCTCTCATCCGCGCTCCTTCATCATCCAGTCACTAGCTCAGTGGGTGCGGCCACAGCAACCTCTTGCGCCCCTCTCTTGTCGCGTCGCCTGCGTTCCTGCACACCTCGAGCACCTCGTCCGAGCACCTCGTCGAGCAGCGGCTTGGCACGGCTAGCCTGACGCCACGCTCGAGTCTAAACTAAACCTGTCGCGTCAGCTCAGGCCAAGGCATCATCACACTGCTACGCGCACCCAACCCTCGCTGGCTCGTCTGCATCCAAGCCACATCCGACTGATTCACCCTGCCAGCCATGTCGAGGCGCAGCGGCATCGAGGCCTCCAACGTGCTCCAGGGCCCGCGCAAGAGGCTGCGCGGCAGCAACACCAACAACAACGACAACGACGCCGCGGGCTCAGTCGAAGAGCCGGCAGCGACCAGCGCCGCGGCGGCTGCTAGTGCTGCGACGGCTTCAGGCACCGCCGCCATGGGCGCAATCGAACGCAAAATTCACAGCCTCTCGCTCGACCAGCTGACGCAGAGCGGCCAACGCCTCATGGACACGGTCATGGACGCCATCGACCCCACCGACGGCGCGCCCCTCCACGACTTCTTCCTCGAGCTCCCCGACGCCGACGAGTACCCGGACTACTACGAGATCATCAAGCGGCCCCTCGCCCTCGACGCCATCCAGCACAAGCTCGACCAGCGCGCCTACGCCTCCCTCCCCGACATCAAGCACGACTTTGAGACCATCTGCAACAACGCAAAGCGCTACAACCTCCGCGACACCCCCGTCTGGCTCAAGGCGAGAGACCTGCACAGCCTCATCAAGATCACCTACGTCCAGATCGTAGAGAGCCTCCCCGAGCCAAGTGCCGCTGCGCCTCCATCCACCACCATGCCCGCCGACCAACCCTCATCCTCGGACGCGCAGCCAGCTCGCTCCAAACGCATCCTTCTTCGCTCCACAAAGTCGCAGCAGAAGCTCAACGATGCCAAGTCCGAACCGCAAGACGCCACCGCCCCACTGCCACCTCCATCCGAGTCGTCTGTGGAACGCGCACAGCAGGCTGCTGATCTCCCCTCCACCCCCGCCCGCCAGCAGAGTCTACAGCCCGCCACCACCGTCGGCACTCCAAGCTCACAGGCGGACGACGACGATGCAGATGCAGACGGCGACGACGGCTGGGACGACGCCAACTCGTCCAAACTCACAAAGGGCGGCCTCCTCGACGGCCGCAAGCGGCCCGGCAAGCGCGGCAAGCGTCTCAAGGCCACGCTCCGCCAACTCGTCCACGACCTTCGCCGCGTCGTCGGCACACGCGGCTATCCCATCGTCGCACAGTTCGATGCACTCCCCAAACGCAACGAGGTGCCCGAGTACTACCAGGTCGTTCAAAGACCCATCTGTATGCGCGACATTGAGCATCGCGTGTACGAAAAATCCTACATCAACGCACACGCCCTCTTCACCGACCTCGAACAGATGCTCAACAACGCCATGTCCTTCTACCCGCCCGAATCCACCATCTGGCAAGACGCACACGAGATCCGCAGCTACTTTGAGCGCGAGGCCATCCCTGCACTCATCCAGGACGGATTCACCCTCGAAAAGGACGACGTCAGGCAGTCGGCGCTCCCGCTCCACCTCGCCGCCAACAGCACCATCGAGGCGCACAAGGCCGCATACAAGATGATCGTCTCCAAGGCATCCGGCATGGATCCCAGCGCGTCTCAGAGCCCCGAGCCCTCGTCGCGCATCCGACTCGGATCCGCCGGTCTCGCTGGCTCCCCCGCCCTGCCGCCAGCAACCGCTCTGCCAGCCAGCTCACCTGCGCCGTTCGGCTCGCCCTCCCCCGCTCCGGGTGCGACCATGTCGACGCCAGGCCCGATGGCCATGTCGATGCCCATGCTGCCTCCGGGATCCATGTCTACATCCATGTCGCCCATGCCAACCGTGCCTGGGCTGCCAACCATGCCGGGCGTCACGGGTATGCCCATCGTCGCATCGCCAGGCCGACCGCTCCAGTACCCCGGCACCGCATCCACGCCCGTCGCCTCGCCCGCCAACCTGTCGGTGCGTCCCGCAGCCACGCCCGACTCCGTAAGGAGGCCCGTCGGCCGTCCGCCCGGCAAAGGCACCCCGACGCGCTCCAACCCGTATCCGTTCCTGGAGCGCCGCATCGGACCGGGCCGACCCAAGAAGCACGAGGCGGCCGCACGACAGGCGGCCATCGCAGCGCACGAGGAGATGCAGCGCAAGCTCGCACTGCAGCAGCAGCAAGAGGAGATGGCAGCGCAGCAGCACGCCGCCGCCATGGCCAACCAGCCGCTACCGCAATGGCAGCAGCAGCAGCTGGCACAGCAGCAACAGCTCCAGCACCAGCTCTACATGCAGCAGCAGGCAAAGCAGCAAGAGCAGCAGCAGCAGCGACTCCAACAACAGCGACAACGCCAGCAGCAACAAAAGCAACAGCAACAGCAGCAGCAGCAGGAGCAACAGGAGCAGCAGCAGCAACAGCAGGCGATGCTTGAGCAGCAGCACCACTACCAGCAGCAGCTCATGCAGCAACAGCAGGCTCAGCACGGCATGCCCGCATTCAGCCCCTCGGTGCCCAACCAGATGCTGCCGCCCGGTGCGCCGCTCACTCCGGGTCAGCATGCGGCGTTTGGAGCGGGCACGATGGTGACGGAGCCTGCGTCGCCGTTGAAGCGCAAGGAGGCGCTGCTACCCGCCGAGCCCAGTGCACCGCTCCCCTACGAAGGGCTGGAGAACCGCACGCCGCTCATCGCCAGCTTCGCGATCGACATGGAGGTGGAGACTGCCGATGGGCAGACGCTCGCCGTGCCCTCGGTCGAGGTCAAGAACGCCAGCGTGACGCAGCACACGCTGCAGATTCCACCCAATGCGTCGAGCATCACCATCGAGTTTCCGCTGCGCATGCTCAATCGGCGCGCCAGGGCGGTTGCACCCAAGACCGAAGCTGGTGAGGCTGATGCGGCGGGTTCGGACGGTGATGTATCGATGGCGGATGGTGTCAACGGTGGGCACAAGGATGCAGTGGAAGAGTCGGGCAAGACGGGTGGTGTTGAGGTGTTGACGTGGCCTTGGCAGCCGCAGCTGTGGTTCAACGGTCGACCTGCGAGTGGCAAGTGGGTTGCTGCGGACGCACTGATTGATCCAGCACTTCTCGACGAGCAGCAAAAAGAGGCGGACGAGGCGTTTACGACGTCGCTGGGCTGCTCGTTCTGCCGCGTAAGGCTGCTGCCCAAGCGTGGCATCAATGTGTTTGAAGTCTCGGTCGCGCCCGAAGCGAGCTACGAGCCGCTGAAGCATGTGCCGGCTGAAAGGTACTCGATCTACTTTTGCTAGCCCCCTGGGGTGCAATGGCAACTCTTCACGTCTCGTCGTCTCGGTCTGTGTATTATATCTTTGCGTCGTTATTTGGGGCTGATGGGGAGTGAGATGTGCTACACAGCATCACTGGGGATGCATGCGGGTGTTGGGATGTTTCGTTGCGACCATCTCGGTACTGAGCTGTGACCCAGGCAGCTGAGTGATGGCGAAGACTGGCTGGATGATCGTGCGCTCGGGAGGGGTGGAGGTTCGGCGAGGATTTTTAGGGCTGCAGGCTCTTTGCGCCTCTTTGCCGAGAGAGTTGGTCGGGAGCGCCGGCGCGTGTTGGTGAAATTGATCCCGATGCCAACTGATTCCCTTTCATCTCCCACCTCTAGCTCCTCCCATCTGCTTCTCAACGGTCGCACACTCTACGACGCTTACGGCGAACTACGCTTGACGACCTGTCGACGACTTGAAACGACCAGCTTGGGGCTATCTACGCTCGCCCGAGGGGATCACCATGAACCACGGCGGTATGGACCACGGAGGGATGGAGCATGGGGGCCATGGAGGCATGGACCACGGGGGTATGGATCACGGCGCAACCTGCAGCATGAACATGGTTTGGAACTGGGACACTTCGAACCTCTGCATTCTCACCTCCTCATGGCGCATCACCACACCACTATCGCTCTACCTTTCGCTTTCGATCATCATGCTTGCTGGCGTGGGGTACGAGTGGTTGCGGTCGTACATCCGACGCTACGATGCACGGCTTGCGCGGTCTACACTCGGACCGGCACATCGTCGTCGTGCTTCGCTTCGTCTTCCAACTACCAACACCCCTCCTTCGCGAAGATCACCTTCAACGGCACCAGGATCGAGTGCGAGGTGGATCAAACCGCTCGAGTGTAGTCGTCGAACGCAGGTGGTCAGGTCAGCGCTGTACGCTGCAAGTGTCGGATTCAGCTTTGCACTCATGCTCATAGCTATGACATTCAACGCCTTTGTCATTGCAGCCATCGTTGCAGGTAAGAACCAACTCCCACATAAACCACAAGAGCATAGAATACTAACGCTGGTGATGGTGACAGGTGCGGGATTGGGAAACTACATGTTCAACCGAGACCTCTCTACATCCCAAAGCCTGGCCGATGATAAAGGACTCGCCTGTCACGCCTAGACCCCACTTTCACGCTGCAACTAATACGATCACAAAGGGTTGCAAGGAGGGGGTGGAATCTACATCTTGGCGCGGGGGGCAAAGATGGCGGTGGTGGCATCGTCGTGTTTGGTCCTCATGATCTTGACCGCCTGCGCATAGATGACCTCCTTATTCGCGCCCCATGCATTCATCTTTGCCTTGCCCTTGAGCTTGTTGGCCAGCTCGACTGCCTTGTCCATCGTATCCTGTGGACTCTCGGACAGGACATCGACAAATCCAGCCTCCTGCGCCTCCTTGGCGCTGAACCTATGGCCCTCGAGCACGATCTTGCGCATGGTCTTTTGGTCGTCGATCTTGCTCGCGAGCGCCTGCTGCAGCCCGGCGGGGAGGGGAGCGCCAAAGTCGATCTCGTTCATGCACAGGTATCCGCGCTTGGCGTTCATAACGCGGTAGTCGTGTGCGCAGGCCAGTCCGAAACCCGCGGCGAAGGCGTGGCCGTTGACAGCGGCGATGGTGGGGATGGGGAAGGTGAGCAGCTTCTCGTAGACCGCGTTGAGACAGCGGTCGAAAAAGTGCGGATCCGCCAGTGCCTTTTCCAAATCCAGGCCGTTGGAGAAGATCTTGGCGCTGGCATCGGTACCGCCTGTGGTGATCAGTGCAGCACCCTGGTCCGACTCGCCCGAATCGAGCATCGCATTCCACTTGCCCTCAACATGGGTGATAGCGGGGAGCAGACCCTCACCGAGCAGTCGATGCGTGAGACGGTTGTCCGGCGTCTCGGCACCCAGCATCGTCAGCGTAAAGATGCGCGATTCACCATCGAAGCTGAGCTTGACCAGCGCATCCGAGTCGGACGGAAACGACTGTGTGTACGACTGCATCTTGCTGGGACGGGTGGGGTCGTAGCGGGGAACTTTGGACAGGTCGAACGGGTTGCGTGTGGAAGAGTGTCGAACCGAGAGGTGACGAGGCGAGACGGTAGCGCGAGCCAGGTTGCGGGAGATGATGGGCTTTATAGAGCGGAGTGCCGGCAGGGCAAGCAGCGTGCGAGACATGGGATGGTGGTGTAAGCCAGGAAAAGGCATGTGGAAAGGCGCGCGAATATCTGGAGGACACCCAAAGCTAGATGCGGGGAAGAGAGGCTCATCCGGCAACCACAACCACCCTCCAGCCGGTGCACAGGCACAACGCAGCCGCTCCAAGGGTCCCTGCACGGCGAAACGCGCGCGCCGCTGCCTGTCCGCGTGAAATCGACAACAGGCCTCCTCACCCTCGCCCCGACTTCCGATTTTTTCGACATACGGCCGGAAGGCAGACAGAACGCGGCATTTAGACCGGCTTCTATGCAAGTCATGCGACCCGGCGCTATGGCCGTCATGTCGCACCAACAGCTTGTCCTTATCTCGACGATACTCGGCAGCCCTCAGATCGTCTTGGCGCAGCAGCCACGCCGAGTCATCCTTGACGACCTGCCAATACCACCATCGCCACACCGTGTTCTTGTAAAAACTTATATAGATACAGACCATCGATAGCACACGGCAACGCCGCACCCGCGTCTCTGGCTCCATCTTACCCCAGCCATGTCTGGCCAGGAATACGTCGACATTTCGACGATCGGCATCGACGATGCGCCCGTGACGCCCTCGCCTCTGCCCGTGACGTCCGACAGCGCTACGGTCAGCTACTGGATGGCCACCACGCCCAAGCACCAGCTCCCGGCATCGCTCGACGCGCTACCGGCCAGCTCGGACGTCGTCATCATCGGTTCGGGCATCACGGGTGTCTCTTGCGCATACCACCTCATCAACTCCCTCTCGGAATCCAATCGCCCCGTCTGCTCCATCACCATCGTCGAGGCTCGGCAGTTCTGCACAGGCGCAACAGGTCGCAATGGCGGCCACCTCACCACCGCCTCGGCGCTTTCGTACGACGACATCGCCGCCAACCCCGCCCATCTACTCGGCGAGGACCTCGGCAGTCTTGGTGATGATGCTGTCCGCCGCAAGACAGGCGTCGCTGTCCGCGATATCTTGAACTTTGAGACGGCGACGGCGGATGCGATCCGCGGGATCATTGCAGATGAAAAGGCCGAGGAGCAAGTGGGATTCACCGACGACGCCAACTGGCACATCTGCTTTGAGCAGGCCGAGATCGACGCGTACGAAGCAGCGCTGTGCCATGCTGACAAGCATGCTGATCTCAAGGGCTATGTCGATCGGGTCCGTCGCGTGCCTAAGGACGAAGTGGACAGACGCATGCACAACCCCGCGCACATCAAGGCGGTGTACGAGATTCCCGGCGCAACCCTGCATTCGCGCAACCTGGTCGCACTCATCTACGCGCGTGCACTGCGTCGTGCCACCCACCACGGTATCACGCTCAACCTCGTCACCGAATGTCCCGTCACCACCATCAGCGCTGCTTCGTCTTCCTCTGTGCTGACTACGACCAAGGGTGAGATCACTGCTTCATACGTCGTCCATGCTACCAACGGGTATGCGTCGCACCTGCTTCCGCAACTCGCCAATCCCGCACGAGGTGGAATTTCGCCTACACGCGCGCAGGTCGTAGCGGTACCTGCGAAGGCCAAGACGCATCTATGGGGGATGGCGCTCAGCTCAAGCGAAGGTTTCAATTACGGCCATCAACGCCCGCGCTCCGAACACGAACCTCCATCAGCCGATGGGCCTCTGTACATCATGGGTGGTGGACGCCAAGTCGCCACCGGCAGAGAGTGGGGTATCGCCGACGACTCGACCCTCAGCGAGGAAGTGTCGACCTTCCTGCATCCGTACCTCGCCAACATCTTCCCGGAATCGTACGGGGAGGATGTGCACTCGGAATGGACCGGGATTATGGGGTATACAAAGTCAAAAGACCCGCTGGTGGGGCCGGTGGCTGGCTACAAGCAGGGAGCTAGACAGTATATCGCTGCGGGTTACAGTGGGCATGGTATGACCAGGGCGTTTGGATGCGCAGAGGTCGTCGCACAGATGATCACTGCGCATGCAAAGGGTGAGGAGTGGGTGAATAGCGCGAGGTTTCCGGAGTGCTATCTAACCAAGGACGCCAAGGCGAACGGTGCAGAGCCGACGTACGCGGAGAAAGTGGGAAAGTCGGACCCAGACGACGAGGCAGCACAGCGCTGTTGCAGCGTCTCGTAGCCCGAACAATGATCACGACGCAATGCAAACAAATCGACGTCTCCCACGTACGCTATTGTGATGCGTCGAGCACACGAGTCATTTCGATCTGCATGCCTTGGTGGTGCCAAACCCGCTGTATCTGGACCCCACAGCTTTGGTGGGCTGCAAACATGCCGATGCCCCCCCCCCCCCCCCCCCCCCCCCCC